GTTGGGTCGGCGGGCCTGCTGCAGTGTTCCCTTTTTTATGAGTCGCGCGTCAGGTGTTTCTTTGTTGTGGGATCTGATAGTGAGGTGTTGGCTACCCCTTTATATACCTTCCTTTGATACTTTACTTTCGTTGTTCCTAGATAATGTGAGTAGTCACGAAAGCGCTTGGAATTTCTCTATTCTTTCACAGTGGCTGTTTTGCATATTCTGAAATCACCTGTTTACTGTGATCTTATTGCATATGTATATATATATGTATATATATATATATATATATATATATATATATATATATAATATATATATATATATATATATTATATGTATATATATATATATATATATATATATATATATATATATATATATATATATATATATATTATATATATATATATATGGGAGAGAGATTGAGGAAGACGTAGGGGAAGGGTTAAAAGAGATGGAGTGGTTAAAGAGGATTTAGGTAGGGGATTGTATTTTTTTAAGAAAGTTGGGTACATCCGCAGTGTGTTGTTGTCCATTTCTAAATTTTAATTACAGTAATGTGCAAATTAATTGAGGAAAGGATTAAATTTTGTGATTATCTCATAAAATGTCTTAGTCTCAGGCTTAATTAATGTAGTCTGGGTTCTATTCTTCTTAGAAGACTTTGCTACTGACTTCCGACATCCATCCAGCTGTGGTGTTACCCTGTGACTCTCGTCAGTGCTACAACAGCTGTTGTTCTGTAAGGCTATTCCTACAAGCATGCTCCATGAGTGACTGTAGTTTTGCCGCATTCTCCCATTCAGTTCATGATTACTTCTGAAATTCATGATGGATGTTACACCTAGGAAGCGTGCAAGTATTGTAGCTCTTAGAAAACATGATGATTTAAGTATCAAACAGATATCTTATTAATGAAAATAAGATACCAGATATATTAAGCAAATTTCCTTGATTTTCTTCTAACATATAAGTGAACTGTAGATATTAATCCAGATGTACACCTGTTAACCATTTTGGTGCCTAGTTCCTATCCTTTTGTGTATCCATATGCTCCTGCGGTACCATCCACAGGATGGATAAGCGGTGCACAATAAACTACCCACTTCGGTGGCAAAAATCTAAAAAACAACAAGAAAAAAAAAAGATCGCTGAAAATTTGAGCCTAGCAAAGTCAACTGTTGGTCAGATTCTGAAGAGAGTTGACGACACTGGTGATTGTGGAGTGCTGCGTCGAGGAAGATGTGGAAGAAAACATAAGACAACACCTCACGATGACAAGGTTATCATAGAAATAGTATGAAGGATCCCCAGAAAACCAGCAAAGATCTACAGAGTGATTTGGCTTCAAATGGCATAAATGTTGATTCTTCAGCTGTTCAGCGAAGGCTCCATAATGTTTTCAGAATTGCCAGAAAGTCGGTAAAGAAAAAATTATTGACTGCTGCCATGAAGAAAAAAATGTCTGTGGTGGGTACTCGATCATAAGGGATGGACGACAGATGAATGGGTACAGATCAATGGTAGTGAGACGGAGCAAAGGCGAACCTCTTTGGAATTAACACATTCAACAAACGCCAGAACACCCACCTACGAAGTTTTGGGGTAGTTTTACTGCTAAAGGCTTGTTATTGTTAAGGGAACAACGGACAATGAGAAATACAAGGCAATCCTGGCAACTGATTTGATTGTCATTGTGAATAGAAACTTTTCTGATGTAGAAGTCATTTTCCAGCAGGATCTTGCTCCATTCCACATTTCCAGAACAATGCCGACATTCTTCGAAGAGAGTGGGCTAAGGATTCTCAATTGGCCTGGAAACTCTTATGACCTCAACCCAACTGAGAATCTATGAGCAATAACCAAACACGTGATCGCTAAAGAGTGCTCTTCAACTGTGGAGTAGCTAACTGATGCTGTTATTAAGAACTGGTATCACGACGAACTTGTCAAAATGTTATCAACATTGGTCGATTCTATGGAAAAGTGTGTAGCAACGCATATAAAAGCAAAGGGTAGTCATATCTTTTATTAAATCAATTATCTGTCATAATACTGCCGTGTATTTTTAAATAAACATTAATGTTCCAAATAAATGTCTTATTTCATCACTGTCCCAATTAATATGCACACTACTGTACTTAGTGAGAACAATAACGATGTTTTTCCTTATTATATTCCATCACACAGATGACTCACATATATTTCTCAAAGGATGGATGGGCGAGGAGTGTCGAGGGGTTGTCCAGGGAGGAGAGAGGGTTGTGGTGTCTAAGGGGTGAGGGAGGGCGTCATGGGTGTCAAAGGGTGGTCCAGGGGAGAGGGTTGAATTTGAAGTGTGTGTTAGTATTCCAGCGTAGCTGTTGCTGAGATGCTTGTATGTGTGGGGAGGCTGGAGGTTGCTGGTATCGTTACCAGTCTCTCAGCTGGTCTCGTGGGACCTGTCTTACCTATTCTTAAGCTATGTACAAAGTTTGTCTCCACCACTTTTTCCACCTCGATTATTTACATTCCTGACCACTCAGAGATAAGAAATGTTTCCTGACATCCTTGTGGCTCATCTGTGTCATAAGCATCTAGCCGCGCCCTCTAGAACACTGTATACCTGTCGACCCGATTAATCCTTTTAACGTTTCATATCATTACCATATCTCCCCTGTTTCTAGTACCCACTAATATTAGGTTCACTTCCCTTGGTCTAGCTCCGGGAATAGTCTAATTGAAAACCTTTGTAGTGCTTTCTCCAGTTTCTTGATAAGATCAGTCACGTGTGGGTTTCATACTGATGCTGCATACTCCAAGATGGGCTGAATGCTACTCTTAGACGTGCATTCACTGCACAGGTTGTTTGGTCGATGTGCGCCTTCACGATATGCTCGGAACAATGCTCGCCCCAAAGTCCTTCCCTTTGAGTGAGATTTTCAGCCTTTGTGCTCCGAGCCTGTACTCTGTCTCCACTGTTTGTTCTCTTTTCAAAGATTGGTGTTGGTACTGATGTAGATGTTGTTGTTGTTGGTTTGTTGTTGTTGTTGTTGTTATCGCTCTTGTTATTGTTATTGTTGCTATTAGTTATCGTTATTGCTGTTTTTATATTTAAAGTTATTATTGCCATTGGTGTTATTATTGACATTGTTATTGGTATTATTATTGTTGTAATAATGGTGGTGCTGATAGTAGTGGTGGAGATAGTGGTTATGGTGTTGGTAGTAGCAGTAGTGGAAGACGAGGAAGTGGAGGTTTTCACGCTTGTCTCAGGGTGATGGAGGGGGGAAGGCGTGTCAGGTGCAGCAACCTCGCATGTAGGAGCAGCCTGTGATGCTAGACCCTCACAAGCCTCGAGTTGGTTAATACCCTACTAGTGCCTATCCTCTATATGTCTGTTTAATAGCTCTATCTGTGAGACTTATCATACTCTCTCTCTCTCTCTCTCTCTCTCTCTCTCTCTCTCTCTCTCTCTCTCTCTTTCTCTCTCTCGTTCTCTCTAAACTCTGTTTAGGTTATGGTTCACTGGTAACTATACACTGTAAATCATGTAGCTATCTGTATATTCGTTATTGTGGTGAGTATATATATTAGAATGTTCTATTGACTGTAATACAAAGTGTCTCTAGGCCGAGTACTGTGAGCTTATTGAAAGAACTTGTGCTCGTGATGGAGGAGAAGGAGAAGGAGGAGGAGGAGTGAGACAGGGAAACACTCCCCACAGAATAATTGAGTAAGATTCTTCCATTCCCTGAATATCTGGCCAGAATTTTTACGCTTTGGGTGATGTATGTTCTCTCTCTCTCTCTCTCTCTCTCTCTCTCTCTCTCTCTCTCTCTCTCTCTCTCTCTCTCTCTCTCTCTCTCTCTCTCTCTCCCTTTCTCTCTTTCACACAAACTTATGTTAAGGGTTCCTACTTTTATTTGCAAGCTAAGAGCTGTTACCTACTTCAACTCATTTGAAAGTCTTTTTATTGTTATGAGACATACAAATATAGAACAGGATGAAGTTGGAGCCATCTGTGGACCAGCGATTACATTTGGTCAACTGATTTCATATCGTTGATGTAATTATGCTGAACGAACATGTTCCAGACTCGAATCATCTTAGGAATAAACGTTCTCAGATAAGGTGATGTTCTGGAGAAGGGTACAGTCAGAGTGTAGTTGCTGTTTGCTTCCCGTCTTGTTGGATAGAAGTTCACTTCTCGCTGTCCTCGGAGTGGAGCCAATATTGGCCTTGTACATAACAATAAAGTCACCCACATCCCTCCAGTACTGAAGGCTCTGCTGAAATGACATATCTGTCCAGGCCGGGTCCATGTGAGAAGTGAATGGTCTTTCTCTGCTCTGCTCTCTATTCTGCCAAGGAGTCGCAAATGAGATGAGAGATAGGCAGTCCTAGAAAGTGTAGCATACTAAAGGCGTGAGTGCAGTTTTGCCTTGTATAGAATCTTGCAACCTCTACAACCCTCCAGGTATATGGTCGAGCACATGCGAGAGATATCTAAGTACTGTTAGCTTCCTTGTCGCTTTCTTTGCAAGATTTACAATGTGGTTCTTCACAGTCTGTTTGGAGTCAAATCTCACCCCAAGGATATTAACTTCATTCCCAGGTACCAACACTCTCCCATTTATTCTTACCACTGTTCCATCATTACCATCATGGTGCCTAGAGATATTCATCTTTGTGTTTTCTCAGAAGCAAATGTAACCTGCCATCGTTTTCCCCAGGATGATATAACTGTAAGTTGGTGATTAATGTAAATGAAAGCAGCTGACATTTCCTCTCTTGGATAATTAAATGTCTGCGTACAATAGTCTGCATATGCATGGGAATCTGAGATGAGTTGAAGAAGGTCATTGTAGTAAACATTCCATAATAATGGACCAAGAACACTTCCCTGTGGAACACTGGCACCAATAGAGTGTCTTGTTGACTCTGTCCCGTTGAGAACTATTCTTAGAGATCTGCCTTGAAGGTAATCACTGAGGAGGCATTGTGTAAAGCTGGCCACTCCTAGTACTTACAGTTTGCCAAGAGTCCCTGGTGCCATACTAGGTCGAAAGAACAAGCAATGTCCAGTGCCGCTACACAGCTGAACTTGGATTCATCCAGTGACTGGTGCCACTCAGTGGCCTCCTCTGAAGCCATGTTAATTGTCACAAAGAAGGGAGTGCTAGCCGAAAAACGTTGTCATCTTCCGTGAGATTATTGTCTCAAGAATCTTTCCAGTGAAGGGGTCTGAGGGAGGGTGAGGGAGGGTGAGGGAGGGTGCGGGAGGGTGCGGGAGGGTGAGGGTGAGGGAGGGTGTGGAAGGGTGAGGGAAGGTGAGGGAGGGTAGGGTGAGGGAGGGTGGAAGGGTTGAGGGAAGGTGAGGAGGGTGAGGGAGGGAGAGGAAGGGTGAGGGAGGGTGTGGAAGGTTGAGGGAGGGTAAGGAGAGATCGCGTGGCCACCATCATTAAGGGAGTTTCTTACAGCGACTACATTCGCTTACTTTCCTTGTCCCTCTCTCTCCCCTCCTCCCTCATTACCTCCCTCCCTCCTTCCCTCCCTCCCTCCTCTCTCTCTCCCTCCTCTCCCTTCTTCCTCCATCCCTTCCTTCCTCCCTCCCTTTATCTCTCCTTCCTTTCCTCCCTCCCCCCGTCCCTTCCTCCTTCTCTCTCTCCCTCCTTCCCTCTTTTCCTCCCTTCCTCTCCCCTCCTTCTGTTCCTCCCTCCCTGCCTGCCTGCCTCCCTCCCTCTCTTCCTCCCTTCCTTCCTCCCTTCCTTCCTATCGTTTCGCACCATAGTTAATGATTTTTTTTTCTTGATGGTGAAAGGGCGGAGAAGAGGAGAGGGAAAGAGATGGAAGAGATGGAGGAGGGTAACGGAGGGGAGGGAGAAAGGGGGGGAGAATGTAAGGCGATGGGGAAGTAGAAGGGAGGGTTGAGAAAGGGGGAAGGGAGGAAGAGGGAAGGGGAGGCTAGCAATGGTGTTATTGTGTGTTTTTATTATTGTTTTTGTTACTGTTGTTGTTACTGCTGTTATTGTTACTGTTTTTGTTACTGTTGTCGTCACTGTTATTGTTGCTGTTGTTACTATTGTTATTACTGTTGATGTTACTGTTGTCGTTACTGTTGTTACTATTATTGTTGTTATTTTTGTTGTTGTTACTGTTCTTGTTACTGTTGTTGTTAATGTCGTTGTTGTTACTATTGCTGTTGTTACTGTTGCTGTTGTTACTGTTGCTGTTGTTACTGTTGTTGCTTTTACTGTTATTGTTGCTGTTGTGGTTGTAATTAATGCTGATGCTCTTGCCGCTTGTTGTTGTTTGTTCTTCATGTTGTTTTTTGTTGTTGTTGTTGTTGTGTTGTTGTTGTTGTTGTTGTTGTTGTTTTTGTTGTTGTTGTTGTTGTTGTTGTTATTGCTGTTGTTATTGTAGGAGATTCTTGTTTTTGTTATTATTTTGTTTCTGCTGTTGCTATTGTTTTATTGTTGTTATTATTATTATTATTATTATTATTGTTTGTTGTTGTTCTAGTTATTGGTTGTTGTTGGTGTTACTGATGTTGTTGTTGTTGTTGTTTTTGTTGTTTTTATTTGTTGTTGTTGTTATTTGTTGTTGTTGTGTTGTTGTTGTTGTTGTTGTTGTTGTTGTTGTTGTATATGTTGTTATTGTTATTTGTTGTTGTTGTTGTTGTTGTTGTTGTTGTTGTTGTTGTTGTTATATGTTGTTATTGTTATTGTTGTTGTTGTTTTTGTTGTTGTTGTTGTTGTTGTTGTTGTTGTTGTTGTTGTTGTTGTTGTTGTTGTTGTTGTTGTTGTTATTGTTGTTATTGTTATTTGTTGTTGTTGTTGTTGTTGTTGTTGTTGTTGTTGTTGTTGTTGTTGTTGTCTGGTCTACAATTGGTTCATCAATCACTTGGAACAAGGTGGGAGGTGTTGGGGAGGCAGTAATGATGCTGCTCCACCTTGTTTCCTGCTGCTTCTGATGCTGCTGTTCCTGCTGCTGTTCTTGCTGCTGCTGCTGCTGTTCCTGCCGCTGTTCCTGCTGCTGCTGCTCCTGCCGCTGTTCCTGTTGCTGCTGCTCCTGCCGCTGTTCCTCCTGCTGCTGTTCCTGCTGCTTCTACTGCTGTTGTTCCTGTTCTTGCTGCTGCTGCTGTATCTTTTTCTGCTGCTGTTCCTGTTGCTGCTGCTGCTGCTCCTGCTGCTGCTTCTCTGCTGTTGCTGCTGCTTCTTTACTATTGCTTCTCTTCTGTTGCAGCTGTTGTCGTTGCTGGTCCTTCTGGTGCGACTGCTTCTCTGACGTTGCTGCTGCTGCTGCTGCTGCTGCTGCTGCGGCTTCTTTGCAATCGCAGCTGTTTGTTACTACTGTTGCTGCTCCTGCTGTTGCTGCTTACCTGTTGCTGCTACTGCTTCTCTGCTACTGCTACCATATACTGCTGCCATTCTACCATACACTAGTAGTGAAAGAATTATGTGTAAGACAAGAGTAGGATTGCAGGAAAACAAAGAGGACTCAGGAAAGTTGGGATATGTGTCGAGGCATGTAAGGGAGCAACACTCAGACAAAGGTAAGGAACTTTTAGTTGCATTTATGGAATTAGAAAAAAAATGTGTGATAGAGTAAACAGTGAGGCAATGTGGCAGATGTTGCAGATGCATGGTAAAGGTAGTTGCTTACTCAAAAGTAGTAGAGAGTTTTTACGTGGAGAATGATGTTCAGATTAGGGTACGCAGGAGAGAATGGTGTCATCCTTCCAGTATAAGTAGGTCTTAGACAGCAGGGATGTGTGATGTTACCATGGTAACTGTATTAACTTATAGATGGATAGTAAAGAAGGTGAACGTTAGGGTGATGGGGAGAGACGTGAAATTAAGAGATACTGAATCTGATGCCAAGAAGGAGTTGTCACAGTTGCTGTCTTCCGATGACGCGGTGCTCTTGGCAAAATTTGAAAGGAAACTGAAAAGGTTTGTGGAAGAACTTATGCAGGTGTATAAAAAAAGGTAGTTAAAATGAACTTAGAAAAAGCAAAGTGGTGACAACAACAAAATTTAGGCAATGAAATACTGAATATCAGAGTAGAGGCGGGAGTGTGAAGGAAGTGGATGGATTTGGTTACACAGGTTTTTGGAAAGACGAGGTGAACCATAACAAACGACGGCAAAAAAAAAAAAATAGAAAATGTGTTGAGGCATCGGTGGAAATAAGTTTGTTTACGGAGGCAAAAAGGGAATGAACCTGAATATAGTGTTGGCAACACTTTTATATGGGAGTGAAGCATGGGTTGTAAATGTTGCAGCGAGGAGGAAGCTGGAGGCAGTGGAGATGCCGTGTGTGAGGGCAGTGTGTAGCGTGAATATTATGATGAGATTTAGGATCACAGAAAATAAAAGATGGCGATGGGGTTATCAGAGATAAAGTTCAGAAGATTGAGGATGTGCTGCTGAGGTAGCTTATCAAATTAGAAAGGATGTGACAGAACAGATGGTAAAATAGGTTTATAAATCCGGGTGAAAGGGGTGAAGGGAGGGGGGTGAAGGAGGCTCTGCGTAGCAAACGTTGGAACATCTAACAGGAGAGTAGTCAGTCAAGACAAATGAATTTATGGGTTGATGTGGTGAGCAAGGTAACATTTATGAAAGAAATTAGGGAAACTGGTTATCCGGACTTGAGTCCTGGAGGTGTTAAGTGCAGTGCCTGCACTCTGAAGGTGGGGTGGTTATGTTACACTCCTGCTTGTATATATTTTATTTTTTTTTTTATTATCACACTGGCCGATTCCCACCAAGGCAGGGTGGTCCGAAAAAGAAAAACTTTCACTATCATTCACTCCATCACTGTCTTGCCAGAAGGATGCTTTACACTACAGTTTTTAAACTGCAACATTAACACCCCTCCTTCCTTGTATATATATATATATATATATATATATATATATATATATATATATATATATATATATATATATATATATATATATAATATATATAATACACTGATCTCTGGCTGAAGGAGACTCGAACCTAGGAACCTTGGAACAAGGTATGCAGTGCTTTACCAATCTACCCACACTGGACCAATACCTTCCAAGGTTCGTAGGTTCGAGTCTCCTTCAGCCAGATATCAGTGTTTGTGTATATTTCACCTGCTCTTGCGAATTCCTTGCATTGTTGATATCTCTAGTAAGGCTGATGCATGCAGGGGATGAGATGAAAAGCTTACAGCTTTTCATCTCATCCCTGAAAGCTGGCTGCCTTGGATCAAGGTCTAGCGCAAGCTGGACTCCAAGGTATTGGTCCAGTGTGGGTAGATTGGTAAAGCACTGCGTACCTTGCTCCAAGGTTCGTAGGTTCGAGTCTATTTCAGCCACAGATCAGTGTTTGTGTATATTTCGCCTGCTCTTGCGAATTTCCTTGCATATATATATATATATATATATATATATATATATATATATATATATATATATATATATATATGTTATATACATGTATAATATATATATATATATATATATATATATATATATATATATATATATATATATATATATATATGTATTATATATATATATATATATTATATACACATATATTATACACATATATATATACACATATTATATATGGCTGGAATGGGACCTCATCCTCAGAGAAGACAATAACGTGTGTATATATATATATATATATATATATATATATAATAAATATATATACATAATTACACACACATATATATATATATATATATAATATCAATATATATATATATATATATATATATATATATTATATATTATATATATATGTATGTATGTATGTATGTGTGTACTCACCTAATTGTGGTTGCCTGTTCACTGGTCGCTACTAGGTCACTCCCTCCTTGCTCCGTGAGCCTTATCATACCTCTTCATAAAGCTATGTATGGATTCTGCTTCCACAGACTTCGTCTGAGAATTCAACTTTCAACTGTGACCCTTGTTGCTCTGTCCCTTGTTGTGTGTGTGTGTGTGTGTGTGTGTGTGTGTGTGTGTGTGTCACATATTAAACTGTTAGGCACTGCCAAACACTCCCAAACATTGAACACAGCAAACACACAACACTAGTCAGTAAAGACTAAACAACAAACACCACCATATACTAACAAACACCAACAAACACAGCCAA